AGGGAAAGAAATATTCCCCAAATACACCAGCAAATAGGTCATTGCCTCCTTAGACACTCTGCAGGTCCTTCAGCTTTTCTGTGCACCCAGGTGTGAGGTGCTGCTCCAAATTGCCCACCAGAGCACTGCAGGGTTGGATGCCTGAGTCCCACAGATGCCTTAACATCCCCTCCTCTTTTTGTACCACAAGTAGCAAATTTGGGTGCATTTCCCTGTGATCCAGCTACCCTGGGAGGATGAGAAGGGAACAGGGGCAGTGCTCCTTTCTGCACTCATGGGGAGATAAAAGGGGTGATGCTCCTCTCTGCACCCATGGGGAGATAAAAGGGGTGATGCTCCCCTCTGCATCCATGGGGAGCTGCCTTCACCCAGAATTTCTCATGGCGTCTCCTCCTTTTGGGTTTTGTCTGCTGTCACTACAAGGTGCAGCCAGGGATGCCCCTACCTGCTCTCTTCTCCCTCCAGCAGTGTCCTGTAAGTGGCAATCTCAATGTCCAGGGCCAGCTTGACGTTCAGCAGCTCCTGGTAGTCTCTCAGCAAGCATGCCATCTTGTCCTTGGCTTGCTGCAGTGCCGTCTGCAGGTCGATCAGCTTCTGCCGGGCATCTTTGAGGGCGCAGTCACCCCGCTGTTCTGCATCACAGATAGCCGTTTGCAGGGCTGCAATCTGTGGATGGTAACGGGCAAGAGGGTGGTCAGTGGTGATATGAAGAGGCATCTTCACAGGGTTGCTCATGTACCCGCTTGTTTCTCAGCTAGGAACTGTCAGAGAGCCTGGATTTAGGCTGGACACATGCGATGGCCAAGCTATTTGGGATGGGGACCTGTTGGCTGCACCCCGGTAGGAAGCCTACAGCAAACACTGTTTCTGTTACAGCCAAGCAACTTGGCTTCTGCCTATTTGTTAAGTGAGACACAAATCTGCTTTTTTGTGTATCAGCAATAGATGAGAGGCTTAAGCTGTGCTGGGGGGACTCTTTGCAGCTCAGCAGGGTGGGAGCTGGTGAGGACAAAGCCCTTTGCTGAAGAAGTCGCACACTCCGCTGCCCATGCAGTGTTCAACCCTCCATCCTACCTGTTTCTTCACGTTATCCGACTCGCACTGCAGCTTCTGGATCATCCGGTTGAGCTCAGCAATCTCGCTCTGGTTGTTTCTCAGGTCGTCGCAGAACTTGCCCCGGCTGCTGTGGAGCTCCTCCAGCTATTACATGGGAAGAGGATGATGACGTTAACACCCCCAAATCGCCCCTTCCAGGGAAGGTGGGGACTCTCCAGAGCCGCAATGATGTCGGGGCTCCCAGGGGAGCAACCAGACACGATCTCAGCCCAGACAAGGTGACAGTCTTGGGTAGGTCCTGAGCATTGCCCTTTGGGAAGGGGATGGTGTTCCTGATGGGTGTGCACAGAGGGAGCCTCTCAGAAGCAACACAGATTTGCTTTTCTTACAGAAAACACGAGTTTCAGGGTTGTTTGGTGGGGTTTTTTTGACATTACTTTCTTTAGCAAAATACAGTGCATGCACAGAAAAGGTCCTCAGGGTTTTGTTGGCCAGGGGATTTAATTGTTGGATTTCACGGTTGGACTCAATGATCTTAAAGTCTTTTCCAACCAAATGATCGACTCTATGATTGCCATCTGTGCTGGTGGTGCAAATACTCACTCTGGTTTGGTAGAAAGCCTCCACCTCAGCCTTGCTCTTCTGGGCAATCTCCTCGTAGCAGCACTCAACGCTTTTGATGATGCCCTCCATGTCCAGGTCGCGGCTGTTGTCCATTTGCACGATGACAGAGGTGTCACACAGCTGGCAATCCAGCTGAGCTCTCTCCTGCAAGATCCATCGCGTGTCAGTCCCCTTCCCAAAACCAAGCCTTGGCAAAAGGGAGTCTAGTGGGAAGGTGGAGGGTTGGGGGAGGTTCTCCCATTAACGGGTGACTCGTTTCCAGCAGAAACTGGTAGCTGGGACTCATTGTGGTGGCACAAAAGGGGATTTCTGCATACAGAAATGGTTTTCCAGGCTCTGAATCCCTCAGGGGTGAGAGCTTTGGACCCCATTGCCTATAGAGTGCTGGGAGTAAAAGGCACAAATACAAAGTGTCCCCTGTTTTGTCACATTGTAGACAAAAGTGCTACTTTCACCAAAATATTTCCACTAATGTAGCTTAAAAAGTGAAGTGCTACAAATATTTGGCTTTTGAAGAGTGAGATGACTCAGTAGTTCCCAGGGATGGTTTGGATGAGAATTTGAGGAGCTTTTTCATGCAAAAGATCTCTCCCTTTGCAGCAATGTGGGAGACAGCCAAGAGTGCCCTTTGCCTTCCCAAAGCGTGTGTAACAACATTGTTATCAAATGTATACAAAGAGAGGTCAATTTTTGGGATGCAATTTCAGGATTTTTGGAAAAGATGCCTTTCCCCTGCATTTGGCTTTGGTGTAAGAGCTGGGGGGGGGGAG